CCTACATCCAATTACAGAATGTGTTTTTTTTTCAGAGGCAAATGGAATTATCTCCAAGATAGACCATATGATGTGCCATAAAATGAGGTCCTATAAATACCAAATGATTGGAAACATCAGTATATGTTCTCTGACCACATGGAATGAGTATGAAATCAATAATAATAAAATATGTAGAAAATTCCCAACTATTTGGAAGTTAGGAAACACTATTCTAAATAACTGATAGACCAAAGAAGAAATCACGAGGACAATTAGAAAGTACATCAAGTTGCATAATGATTAAACTGCAGCATACTGAGAATTGTAGGATCGAGTTAAAGCAGGGCTTAGTGGGAAATAGCTTTAAATACCTATATTAGAAAAGAAGAAAGATTTAAAATCAGTGACCTACATTTTCCACTTAAGAAGGTAGAAAAGGACAAGTAAATCAAATTTAAAGTAAGAAAAAGAAGGAAATACACAATATAGTACACAATTCTAAGACACTAAAACTATAGTAAACTTGATAGTGTGTTAATAGCAAAAGAATAGACATATAGGTGAATGGAACAGAATTAGAGAGTCCATAAATAGACCCACAGATATATAATGAATTGATTTTTTTGACAAAAGCGCAAAGGCAGTTGAGTGGAGAAAAGATTCTCTTTCAACAAATAGTACTGAAACAATTAGATGTGCATATGCACAGAAATAGACTTTGACTCATTGCTTGCACTGTATACAAAAATTAACTCACAGTAGACAATAGACCTAAATATAAAACCTAAATCTAGAAATATTTTAGAAGAAAACATAGGAGAAAATCCTTATGATCTTGGGTTAGGCAGATTTTTCTTAGGACACCAAAAACATAATCCATAAAAGAAAAGACTGATAAATTGTATTTCATCAAAATTAAGAACTTATTCTTTTCTGAAGACATTGTTTAAAGAATGAAAATACAACCCACAGTCTAGGAAAAAAATATTTGCAAATCACATATCTCATAAAAAGTCTTATATACAGAATATGTAAAGAAATTTCAAAACTCATTAATAAAATAAACATCCCAAAGTAAAATTAAACTAGAAACAAAGTGACAAAAGATTTTAAGGTACTTCACAAAATAAGATATGTCGATGGCAAATAAACACATAAAGAGTTACTCAACATTATTAATTAGGGAAATGCATAATAAAACCATGATAAGATACCACTATAAACCTACTAGAATGTCTAAATATTAAAATATATCCATACTAAGTATAGATAAGGATGGGTAGCAACTGGAACTATTATAGATTGCTGATGCAAATATAAAATGATGCAAACCCTTAGGAAAAAAGTTTGACAGTTTCTTTAAAAGGTAAGTGTAAACCTATCAGATGACTGTCATTTCCTAGGCATTTACCTATGAGAATTGAAAGCATATATCTATATATAAGTAGTACATGAGTTCATGGTAGCTTTATTTGTAATAACAAGAAACAGGAAACAACTCAATTAGTATTAACAGGTGGGTGAATCAATAAATTGTAATGTATTTATACAGTGGAATACTACTCAGCAATAAAAAGGAAAGAACTATTGACATACACCACAACATGTCTAAATCTCAAATAATTATGCTCAATGAAAAGTTACACAAAAGAGTACATTCTGTATAATCCCATGTATATAAAATTCTAGAAAAAGAAAATTAATTTATAATGACAGAAAGTAAGGCAGTCATCACCTGGGGGAGATGAATAGAGGCATGAGGAAAATATTATAAAAGGGAACACAAAATTTTTTTATAGTTATGATGTTCACTTCAATATTGTTTTTAATTAAAGACTTAATTTTTTAGAGCAGTTTTAGGTTCACAGCAAAATTGAAAGATACAGAGATTTTGCATATACCCCCTGGCCCCACACATGCATACATGCATAGCTTCCCTAACTGTCAACATCCCCCACCAGAGTGGTACGTTTGTTGCAGTTGATGAACCTACATTGATACATCATTATCACCCACAGTTCATAGTTTACCTTGGAGTTCACTCTTGGTGTTGTACATTCTGTGGATTTGGGCAAATGAATGACATGTATCCATCATTATATTATTATATGAGTATTTTCACTGCCCTACATATATTTTGTGCTCCACCTATTCATCTACCACTCCCATCCCTGGTGACCGCTGATCTTTTTACTGTCTCTGTAATTTTTTCTTATCCAGAATATCATATAGTTAGAATCAGAGTGTGCAGCCTTTTCAGATTGGCTTTTTTCACTTAGTAATATGCATTTAAAGTTCCTCGATGTCTTTTCATTGCTTAATAGTTCTTTTCTTTTTAGTGCTGAATGATATTCCATTGTCTGGATGTACCAGTTTCTTTATCTGTTCATCTACTAAAGGACATGTTTGTTGCTTCCAAGTTTTGACAATGATGAATAAAGCTGCTATAAGCATCCATTTGCAGTTTTGTGTGTGTGTGAATATAAGTTTTAAACTCCTTTGGGTAAATACCAAGAAACATTGCTGGATCATATGAATATATTTAGTTTTGTAAGAAACTGCCAAACTGTCTTCCAAAGTAGCTGTATCATTTTGCCTTCCCACCAGCAATGAATGAGGGTTCCTGTTGTTCCACATCTTTGTCCGCATTTGGTGTTGTCAGGGTTTTAGATTTTGGCCATTCTAATGGGTGTGTAGTGGTATGTAATTGTTGTTTTAGTTTGCATTTCCCTGATGACATATTACATGGAGCATCTTTTCATATGCTTTTTTGCCATCTGTATATCTTATTTGGTGAGGTATCTGTTAAAGTCTTCGGCCCATTTTTAAATCAGGTTGTTTTCTTATTGTTGAGTTTTAAGAGTTCTTTGTATATTTCAGATAATAGTTCTTTATCAGATGTGTTTTTTGCAAATATTTTCTCCCAATCTGTGGCTTGTCTTCTCATTCCCATTAACACTGTCTTTCACACAGAAGTTTTTAATTTTAACAAAGTCCACTTTATCAGTTATTCCTTTCATAGATTGTGCCTTTGCTGTATCTGAAAAATTATCACCATACCCAAGGTCATCTAGATTTTCTCCTATGCTGTCTTCTAGAAGTTTTATAGTTTTGTATTTACATCTATGATCCATTTTGAGTTGATTTTTATGAGGAATATGAGGTCTCTGTCTAGATTCTTTTTTTTTTTTTTTGCATATGGATGACTAGTTGAGCAACATTTGTTGAAAAGACAAGGGAATTTTTGTGAGTGATGGATATGTTCATTATTTTGATTGTTATATATGTGAAAAAAATTTCAAATTGTATGCTTTAAATATGTGCAGTTTATTGTATGTTAATTGTACCTCAATAAAACTGCTTTTAAAAAGTAAGTTTAACACACAAATAATAAAATATGTCAATTCTGCCAAAGAAATGTGTCCAAGTGCACACTGCTAAAAACAAAATTTGCTAGACTCCTGCTGACAAGAAACATATCAGATAAAGGGCTGGTATCCAAGATCTGTAAAGAACTTACCAAACTCAACACCCAAAAAACAAATAATCCAGTCAGAAATGGGCAGAAGACATGAACAGACATTTCTCCAAAGAAGACATCCAAATGGCCAGCCGATGCACGAAAAGATACTCCACATCAGTCGGCATCAGGGAAGTACAAATCAAAACCACAATGAGATACCACCTCACACCAGTCAGAATGGCTAAAATTAACAACTCAGGAAACAACAAATGTTGGCGAGGATATGTAGAAAAGGGATCCCTCTTACGCTGTTGGTGGGAATGCAAACTGGTGCAACCACTCTGGAAAACAGTATGGAGGTTCCTCAAGAAGTTAAAAATAGAGCTACCCTATGACCCAACAATTGCACAACCTCTAGGGGCATGTGCCTCCAATGGCCCATTAGTCAGTTGCCTTATAGATATGGATGCTTTCTCTTTCTCAGGTGCTGCCTAGGCTGTCACTGTGGATAAGATCTGGTGAAAAGGTTCCTAGAATGAGGTCCAGAGACTCAGACTTCAAGACTTAGAAAAGGAGAGGAACTGTTTGCAGCTCTGCAGTTGGGAGCACAAGCCATGGAGCAGTGAGCCCTCAGGGTTCTTAAACTTAATAGTGGTGAATTTGCTTTCTGTGATTGGATCTCCCAGGGTTTCAGGGCTCACACTCTTTCTATAATTGGCTATATGCAAGTTAACTAACCCTAACATGTTGATATAATGATATATTAGTATAGATGGCAGCTCTACACGCCCACCTATCTGTCTGTGCAGATATGCACATCAGGCAACCTTATTGTATAGATGCTGATAAAATGTAGGAAACCTTACTAGTAGGTTGGCAGCCCTTCTGTGCTGATGTTTATAAGTGCTGTGGTCAGAACTGGACTTGAGTTACAGTTCAGTTAATAATTCTGAGTAGAGGAATTGCTGGTGGTTTTTTCTTTATATGATTTTTGTTCTTCTACAATAACCATGTATTCCTTTTTGTATTAATTTTACAAACAGAAGAAATATAAAATTTTTGATGTTCTGGAGCCCTTTTCTGACTAATTTATGTCATCAGCTAATGAATTGCCATTCTGGATAATCCTGCAACTGTTCTACTCTGGAACAAATCTGAAAACTTCTCAGATGGTTTTCTTTTACACTTCTTCATTCCTGCACCATACTTATTTTATGTAACCCCTACAGACCTGGTTTCCTGAATTTATTGCCCTCTTCCCTGTTAAACTCTTGATGTCAATATGTTTAAACCTCATTTCATCTCTGATAGGCTTTTTACTTTTATAAGAAAGCAAGAGACTACATTACCATATGTGATATAAATTCAGAATGGTTTATGATTTTCCACTTACATCTTATAGGTTTTCTCATGTTAGTGGATATTATGAATTTAGTATCATTAAATTAATGTTCTCTAGATAGTCTTTTGATCTTTTTGAATCTCAACCATACCCATGCTTGAAAATTCACAAATAACTTCATCACAAATAACATTCACTCTTGTTCAATTGCAGGGGGAGAGAGGATTTCCAGGTTTGGAAGGCCATCCAGGTTTGCCTGGATTTCCAGGTCCAGAAGGGCCTCCAGGGCCTCGGGGACAAAAGGTATGTGCCAGGTTGCCAACCAGTAATACTAGAGGCATGAAGCCATCTTAAATGTGGGACTAGGTGTCAAATCAACTAAGAAGTTATTGAATTATAGCCAGAAATTAATATCTAAATAAAATAATAGAATAGCTAAGAGTCTGTATTTTATTGTTGGTTTTTTTTAAAAACTGAATATTACTGTCATATTCAAATGTTTTTGGAAGATGCTGTTAATTGGATGTGGTTATTGGGATCCTTAACAAAAATTAAATTTTGTCAGGAGCTCAGCTGAGCTGGAGAGAGCTGAACTGCCAGGTGTCAGAGTAGCTGATTAAGAAAACAAGCCAAAATGAAAGGAACCATCAAGCCTTTTACTGTGACAGTGTAATAAGCAAAATGTTTAAGCAGAAAAAGCACCTAGGATCTTTCCCCACTGTTCTATTTTTCCCCATGGAACAGTACCAGTGAGGACCTCACCTTGGCTGGCCAGCAGGAGGTTAAGGGCTGTGCTGTTATCCAACACTATTTGGTCCAAGGAATTGAGGCTAGTCCGTTCTGCTTCTAAAACTGAAGTAGTGTCATTAAGTCTTTGGTCTAAGTGTCATAAAGGTCTTTGACCTTTACTTAACTCGAACAAAGTTGCACACAACTTTTTGGAATTGAATGACCCTGAGTGGGAATAGTTGCCTGGAGCATACACAAGTAGAATCGGTAATACCACATGACAGTTCTCCTCAGTAACCAGAGTACCTGGTTTTGGAATTCTCCTCTTACTCTGTTTAATTTGATATGCCCAATAGGAGGGGCTGTCTTGAATATGTGGCAGTCTCTCTTTTTTTTTTTATTCGACAGAGAGAGACAGAGCGAGAGAGGGAACACAATCAGGGGGAGTGGGAGAGGGAGAAGCAGGCTTCCCGCGGAGCAAGGAGCCCGACGCGGGGCTCGATCCCAGGAGTCTGGGATCATGACCCGAGCCGAAGGCAGACGCTCAACGACTGAGCCACCCAGGTGCCCCGAATATGTGGCAGTCTCTTATCAGTGCCCCCATATGTACATGTTACGTTGGTAAGAATGTTGAAGGCCTGGCTTTTACAAAAGAAATAATACCCCAGGGGAGATACACACAGTGCTGGTAGTATAAAAACCATTTATTACCATGGGGGTCAACGAGCCAGAAGTCTCTTCTGGTGGGTAGAGTACTTGAGTAGAATTGGAAAATTTGTATAAGGTGGGCACAGGTATGGGGGGTAGGAGGCAACCATTATTGAGGTCAAAATAGGCCCAGTGGCAGATCCCATTTCCCTTTTCCCAGATGCTTCAGATCCCGTCTCAGACAGGAGCAATATTACCTGTGAGGAGGCGTTTTGTTTCTGTAGTCTCAGAGTCCATCTGTGGGACCATCAGGTCCAGTATAATAAGGTTGGGGTATCTGAGGTACTAAAAATTTCCATGTTTAGAGAAATGTCAATTTGTTTTATTCAGTGGCACAGCAGTCAGGTATTTATCTATGGGGTTGAATAGTGGGTGACATATTCAGCAGTTTGTCAAATTCAGAGTGGTGGCATTTCCTGGGACAGGTATAGCAGTGAATTTAGTTAGGTAGAAAGCACTCAGGCTGTTCTGTGGGAGAGAAAGATGAAAGGATAGATCCATGCAGCCTTTCTTTCCTGTACCCAGGCTCATGGATCCAAAGGTGCAGTTGTCCTATCATTTGGGAAGACTTTTCCCCATTGACTGCAGCGCAGGCAGTCTCTCCTCTACCATAATCGAGGATAGCATCTTATGTGTATGTTAAGGTAGGGAATGGGAAGAGATAATAGCGAATATTAAGATTCAGAGAAGTTTCTCAGTTTTCTAAAAATAGTTCTTTTGGTTGATTGCCCTTTACCATCCGTAATAGGTGGACTGGTGAACTGATAATGAAAGGGCCAGTTCTCTTCATTTGCCTGGAAAGGAAAAGTAGTCTAAAAACCTTTTCTTCCTAATCTTATTTCACATAATAGTGGTACATTATGTTATTAGAGTATTAAGGAGATCAAATGGATACTCATCAGGTAGTCTTTCCAATAAAGGAGGAAATTAATTTAAATATGTAAGTACTTTTAAACACTTAACTATATCAGAACCGAGATTGGGGGTGTGTGCTTGGGCATGATCTCTGAGGAGGTGACAGTACATTGTGGTAGTTTTGTTAGATTCAAGAGCAGAAGGGCCCTGTGCTAAATTTCTTGAGTAGAACTTTATGCTAAGGAAAAAGCAAGACTCTAAATGACTGCATAGAAGTTAAGTAGATGGGACATTTAACAGAATTTCCTAGGGCTAATGAGGTGTAAAAACAACAGAATGTTTCTTGTGCACCTAGGAGTGGCACAGAAATAGCAGAGAGATCTGAAAGAGTCAAGTGGATGGAACTGAGCACCAACTCAGCAGTAATCCATGCATACTACTGGCATGGGACATCTCAGTGAATTCCAGCTTGGACGGGACTGTCCCAACCTTCAACAACTTGGAACTCCCTAAGCTCTCCATAATTTAGGCACAACCTTATGAAAATGAGGTGGGGACTCCCAATCGCCTGAGGTTAAATTTCAATCATGTTAATGAGGTGGGTGCTTTGAAATAGAAATTAAGCTGAACCATAGGGAAATAAAATGACATTTCTTGCACCTGAGTTTACCCAGGATGAGGGGCTGAGTTTCTTGTGCACCATGCTTACTGAGAGGTGGCACTTTTAATAAAGATTTGTGGCACTTAAACTTAAAAAAAGTTAACTATACCTGAATCCCTTTGAAATAATTTAGCATTAACTAGAACTATTGTACAATAGTATGATAATTTTTAAAGGTGTGGTGGTATGCATTTTAGATTTAGAAAGTAGTCCAATCTTTTGCTTTGATTCCATTTCAGTATCTATATAATGAGAAGGCTACACTGGGATTCTAAATTTGAAGCCTCTATCTCCAATATGACTTCATGCTTCCCAGCATAGCTGAATTTATACTTTTTATGTGATCGGGTATTCTAGTACATGCATATATGTATTAACATATATGCCCAGTCAAAAATTTTATAGGATTGTTCTTTAATCTTTATATTCTTATATATGAAAGTAAAGATATATAAAACAAATACATATATAGGAATGTATATATGTATTCATATATACATTTTCCAAGAGATTTCTTTATTTTTAAAAATAAAATTTAATTTTTGATAGATAATATATTCATTTTATTGAAAATAAATTAACATAAGAAGGTATATAGTGAAAAATACTTCCTTTCCACCTGTGAACATGAGCCACTGAGTTCTACATATCCCTAATAGGTACCAATTTCTAATACTTTCTTGTGAATATGCTCGCTAGTTTTTATGAATATGCACAGAGATACAAATATATACATGCACATACATGCTTAAATACACATAGACACACTTTTACCTCCCTTTGTTTATAGAGTGGTAGCATATTCAACATGTTTGATCTTTGTTTTTCACATAATACACATTGTAGATCTCTCATATCAGTATACAAAGAACCTCCTCATTATCTTTTATAACTGCATTGTATTCCATTGTGTGATAAACTAATTTTTTAAGGCAGTCCCCTACTGATGATCAGTTAGATAATTTTCAGTTTTTTTCTTCTACAAACAGCGCTGCTAAAATGTATAGTTTTAATAGACTTCCTTTCCCCAATAAGGGATTATCTCTGTAAGATTACTAGAAGTGATATTGCTAGCTCAGAGGGTACATGTATGTATGTATTTTTATGGATATTGCCAAATTGCCCCCCAAGAAGTTGTATGATTTATCCTTGGTTCAGCAATATACAAGAAGAGCAATTTCCCTATAGCTTCACCAACCCTATTAGGAAATTTGGCTTTTTGTCAATCAGATAGATGAAAACTGGTCTCTCAATGCTTTTAGTTTGCATTTCTCTTATTAAGAGTGAGATTAAGCATCTTTTCATAGGTCAAAGATTCAGTTGTGTTTTCTATGAACTATCTTCTATGACATTTCATTTTCCCATTTTTCTAACAGTATTGGTGGTTTTATATGTTAATGAGCTATTTATATATTAGGGTGATTACCTTTTGTGTTGTGAGTTGCAGTTATTTCCCCTAGTTTGTCATGTCTTTGCTGAGTATGTGCATGTGTGTGTGTGTGTGTGTGTGTGTGTGTATTTATGTGTCTCTGTGTGTTTTTCAGGGGACCTTTATGGCTTTTGGATTTGAGTAGGAAATGCCTTCCCCACTGTAAGATTATAAAATAATTTTCCCATTTTTTCTACTAGTATTTTAATAGTTTAATTTCTTCATGTAAATATCTATTTCTAATTCATCCTGGTGTGTGGTTTGTTATATAAGTTCCACCTTTATTTTTTTTCCAGATGTCCTCACAAATGTGTCCCAATGTAAATTTCCCCATTGATTTGCAGTGCCGCTTTCAGTATAAATCAAATTCACATGAATATATGGACTTGTTTTTAGACCTTCCATACTCTTTCAATGATATGCTTATTCAAATATCAGAACAAAACTATTTTAATTATTGATGTATTATGCTGTATTTTTGTATCTGACAGGGCTAGTTTCCCCTTACGGTTCTTTTTTTTTCCAGAATGTTCCTCAGTGTTCTTGCTTGTTTATTTTTCCATATGAACTTTAGAGTCACCTTATCCAGTTTAAAAAAAAAAAGCAACTCATGTTATTTCTATTTTTATTGTGTCAAATTTTAACTAAATTTGTTGAAAATTGACTATTTTTTATGTTGACTCCTATTATCCAAGAACATGGAATGCCTTTCCATTTGTTCTCATCTTCATGCTTTTTGAACTTTAGAAATGTTTTAAACTTTTCTTCTTATGAATCTTATACATTTCTTATTAAGTTTATTCCTAAATATTTTATCTTTTTTTGCTATTGTAAATTGCATATTTTCTTCCATTATGTTTTCTAACTGGTAGTTGGTATTTAAGAAAGCTATTGATTTTCTCATACTAATTTTATATACAGTTATACAGTTATCTTCCTGAATTACCTTACTGATTATAGTAGTTTTTCATGTGATTTTCTTTGCTTTCCTTGCATACAATCATATCATTTGCAAATAATGGTAGTTTTGCCTTATCCTTTCCAATTTTTATACCTCTGCTTTTCTCTTATTTAACCATGTTGGGAGGGCAACCAGTGAATCTTTGTCTTATTTCTGCCTTTCATGGAAAGGCACAAAAAGATTCATTAAGCAAACGGCCTTCTGGTTGTTTTAAAATAGAATTAGATTTACTTTAATCTCCTTAGAGGTGCATGTGTTGTGGAAAGTGTTGATTATTAAACTTTTTGAAAAGCAAGGTATAGTAGGCAGAATAATGTCTACCCCCTAATGATGTCCATGATGTAATCCCCAGGACTTGTGAATATGTTAGGTTATAGAGACAAGCAAAATTAAGATTGCAGATGGAATTAAATTTGCTAATCAGCTGGTCTTAAAGTAAAAAGATTATTCTGGATTATCTGGGTGGGGCCATTATAATCACAAGAGTCCTTTAAATGTGGAAGAGGGAGGCAGAAGAGTCAGTGTCAGATTGATGCAATGTTAGAAAGATTCATTCAACCATTGCTGGCTTTGAAGATTGAAGAGGGCCATGAGTTGAGGAATGCTGGCTGCTCTAGAAGCTGGAAAAAAGGAAATGGATTCTCCTTCTAGGACTCCAAAAAGCAACAGGGCTCGCCACTAAGACCACTGTCATACTTCTGATTTCCAAAACTATAAGATTGTGTTGTTTTAAGCCACTAAGTTTGTAGTAATTTATAACAGCAGCCTAAGAAACTACTATACCAGGTAACTCTTGTTACAAATGAATTTTTATGGAAGCCCCACATAAAACATAAAAATAGAGCTGCGCTGATGGAAGGAGGGCTGTGACATAGGCTTCAAGGAACCTCCAGTGGAACCTCTAAGGTTATGAGTTGTGTAATTTAGAAACCACTTGTGTAAAGCAAGATGTCCCAGATTAATAAAACCTATCTAAAGCCTCAGGTGGTGGCCTACTAGCTGTATGGTCCACTGAAATTCCCATCTTTTGGAGCAGAATTAGATTTTCTTTATTCCATTTTTAAAAAACTAGTTAATAAAAACTTAGTGAGGCAAAACTTAAAATTCTCAGCAATGCAATTGTAACTTAGAAATGGGTACATAGATTAACACACATGTGGGCAGCCTCTTTTGCATGGAGTCTACAGAAGCAGCTTAGAAAGGGAAGTCTGTGGTTTTCTTTTCTTTGCTGAGCTTTGCCAGTAGAAAGGGCCTTATAAAACAAAGCAAAGGTTTAAAACAGCAGACGCAAGAGCAGCACGTATTTGGGCTCAGAAATGATGCTATTTATTACCAGCATGGCAAGTAGGTTGACACATTGTAGAAACTGCCCAGATTTTCAGCATTTATTTGGCTTATGCATAAATGATTTGAGGAGTATCAGTACCACTATTTCATCTTTGTTTTGTATGATTTTCATAGTTCACTTTACAGGTACAAAGTTTCTGCTACATGTCAGCAGTTTTCTTCTCAGTAAATAAAGACCTTTCTTATTTTTTTTATCATATAACTTACCTCAGTGCTCAGTCTCGATGATAAATGCTTCTTCCTTGGGTATGTAAGTTTCTCACTTTCACAAAGATTCACAAAAATTTAAGTCTCTTATTGTTATAATGTAAAATTAGTTATTTGAGGGCTATTTTAGGAGGAACAAGAACTAAATGTGTTGTATTTTTCAGGGTGATGATGGAATTCCAGGGCCACCAGGACCAAAAGGGATCCGAGTAAGTGATAACTGATGGATATCAAATGTTTTGTTGGTCAAAACAGAGAAAAAGCAAATGAAGTGTTATGAGACAACTGAAAAAGAGTCATATTAAAATGCAAAAAGAAAAATATAGTCTTTAAAAAGTTAAATGTAAGAGTTAGTATGTCTAAAATTAGCCTTTCTTTAGTATTCTGGTAGTTATCTTTATATATCCAAATGTCTATTTAAACTAATGTAAGAAGATTTTAAATTAGTTTATGGATAAGAAATACAAGTGCTGAATTCCAACAATTTGTCAGTTTATTAAAAATATGTATCATACAAATGATTTAAACCAGAACTTCCCAACCATGTGATCATCTCAGTCCTCTGGGTTCAGAGGGCCAATCACCTCAGGCTGTGTACCCTTCCCAGTGTACCATATACAAATATTATAATTTTCTTTGTGTATCCTGAAGAGAGTCAGTTTGGGAAGCACTAATTTAAACCACTGTGTTAAAAAGTAACTACTTTGGAAGTATACAACATTTTCTCAATTCTAAGATATATAATTTTTCATTTTAATGTTCTGAAAACCAGGATTTGTCTCAAAATGGAAGTGCACATTTAGTGTAATTTTTCTGAAAAGCTTTTAGGTTGACACATATCTTTCAGTGTGTTTTAGAATTGGGGGAAACTAGTTTAAAAATAGCCCTGGCTTTTGGAAACTCATACTTAACTTTTCTGAGCCTCTGTTTCTTCATTTGTTAAATTAGAGAGTTAAACAATATAATCTCCAAGGTACCTTTTAGCTCTAAAATTCTGTGTTCATAGATTGACAAGGTGATGACATAACATGTTTATTTATGTGACAGAGACAGTTAAACATTCTGATCCTTTGATCTCCAGAAATTTAGTAGATGTACAAATTTTACATAAACATTAAAAACATTCTGTTTGCTGTATACTTCTTGACAACATATAGCTTGCCTTATGTGCTACTCATGCCTGGTGTTTTTTAAGGAACTGGAGAAGCAGGAAAGAAACGCAAAACCCTCGGTTTTATTAGCAGACATGGCTGTGTGTTATTTTGTATAAATGGATATCAATATATTATTAAAGCTCTTCATAAGGATCATAATGTATTGCATAATAGCTATAGCTACCATTAACTATGTCATAAGCACTGCTGAAACTAAAAAAAAAAAAAAAAACACAAAAAACCCCGTCCATTCTCTCAATTTGTGTTTGCAAGTGCCTGAGTAGTCTGTGTCCCTCAACTAGAACTTCAGAAGTGCAGAGGAATAAGTAGCCGGATAGTTCCTGCATCCTTGTGTCTCAGCCCAGAAGCAATCTTGACGTGCAATTTTTAAGACTTATTATTATGGAAATTTTAAGCATACCCAAATGTACGGAGAATATAGTACAGTGAACCCCACCATGTACCCATCACCCAGCTGCAAAAGTTAGCAACATTTTGACAAGTTTGTTTCATCTATACCCCACCACTATTTTGGGGGAATATTTTTAGGTAAATCCCTCATATCATTCATTCCACCAATGAATACTTCAGTATGTCTTTCTGATAACTACATAACCAGTTTACCATTATTACACCTCAAAAAATTAGCAGTAATTTTTCAGATATACTTTAAAACTCAGTCCTTATTCAGATTTCCACGATGGATGTCCTTTAACAATTGGTTTGTTTAAACCAGGATCCAAGCAAGGTCCACATACTGCATTTAGTTGCTGTGTTTCTTAAGCTTCTTTTATTATGCTATTGGAGAAACTGGGTCATTTGTATTGTACTTCATTCTACATTCTGGATCTGTTTCTTCATGATGTCATTTAAATTGTTCGTCTATCCCCCATATTTCCTGCAGACTGGAGGTTGCGTTATAAGAGGCACTAGAGAACTTTCTGGGGATATAGAAAGAGCTATATACTTAAGACTTGTGCTTTATACTATATATAAATTATACTGCAAAATATCAAAGAAAAATAGAAAAAGAATACTATGTACATAGTGCTGCATACTTACTACTGAATTACATCTTATGGCACAGACATCTGTTATCCCACTTTTTTGATGTTAGGTTTGATTAGTGATCGCAGGTGTATGGGCCTGCTTTTGCCATCAGAATTTCCCCATCAACTTTCATCTAATGATTTAGTATTCATTGATGATCATTGCCCAGATCCATTTTTTGTTCAGAGTTGCAGAAGGGTGATTTTTAAAATTCTATAAATCCTTCATTTATTAGCTAGAATTCTGATTTATCAGCTGAAATTCTAATAGGGTAATGAGTTAGTACACCAGCAACTTTGAGTGATGGTCAGGAAGGTTTTAAGAATTTGTTATTATTATAAACACATGGAATTTATGTGATCCAGTCAGTTGTACTCATTATTCTTGTTGAAGCCAAAATGATCATCTCTTTGGCTTGTGGGAGCCCCTTTAAGTTGGCCCCTGTCCTGTGTCCTTTTGAAAAAACCATATTGATCTTTGATAACTTCCTTGCTTTTTTTTTTTTTT